GGGGAAAAGTGGAGGAATTTGGGTTGTTTCTCCTCGTGTTCACAGCGGACCTTGATTTAAATGTCCATACAATTAAGGCACGCGGTGAATGCCAAGAGAGTGACCGCATGTCAGCCATCGCACAGAGGACGGTGAGGGGCTCACACCTTTGTCCAGGGGAGGCCCAAACCCACATCCGGGGGGGGGGCCTAAAACCGCAGCAGCTGGGTGCAGTACCACCGGCCACCACTAGAGGGCCCCCGAGGCCCCCTGCGTCTGAACGCACATTTAAACCTGATGGCCGTTTAAAGGATTACAAAAAGGGTCTTCAAGAGCTTTAACCTTCAATATTAGCAAGAACATTTTGTCTCTAAAAGAAGAAAAATACCCAAAATCCAAAGTGTTTTTGCTTAATCAAATTTAACCTCTTTTTAGACAAAAGTGAGAAGTTACTTTTGACCCTTGACCCTCTCAAAGGGCCTCATGGTAGTTTTTTAAGATACATTTCAGTGGGGACGTATGCTTGGTGCTAGCCAGATGTTTTCCCTTTTACAATAATAGCAAACATAACTGAATTAACTAAATAAAATTTAAACAACCAAGTCAGCCATCTGACACAAAAAAAAACTGAACAAACTGCTCTGATTCTGAAACTCAAGATGGCCGCCTTGAGTTTAAAAATGTTACCATAGTCTTTGTTTTTCACTGAATACGACACAAAGACAAACTGGGCACCAAATTTCAGGGTTTAGATGGGTTTGATGGATACTTGAAGCTTATAATCTAATTAAAATAGCATTTTTCTAAGACTGTATCGACTTTAACTCAATGTTTGCCATTTAGACTTTGGCACTGACAGTTTTTTAATAACCTCCCCGACCTGTCCCTTCCCTCAGTATCATTAATGTGTTAGTCTTTTTATCTAACCCTCACCAGAAAAGAGGATTCCCTTCAGGTCTGGCTTTCCAATCTTTTTTCTGAGCATTTACATGCCCAGAACGTTTATACCGTTAGCTTCTTATGTAATGCACATTAACAGTAATCCCTTTTATCTTTTTAGGGATAGTTTTCATGATTAAAAACCAAAATAAGGCCTATATATATACATATCGTCAATCCTATGGATCTTACAGACTCATATTTCTAACAAATGCTAGTTTTAAGCCGTCTGGCGCGTCCAGGGGAGATTTGTTCTGCGGCCGAACCGTTTCACCACCAATAAAGCAATTTGTTTCGCCTCTCAAAAAAGAGAAAAACAAACTCCTGGGGAGTAAATTTACACGGCAGAGGCAGGATCATCTGTTTTTTTAAGATGAAACAGCACAGGTCTAATTCAGCATCAAATACATCAAAGGCTGAAACAGCCGGAGGAGTTTGGAGCTGGTTTTTTGGGATTTAGAATCACTTTAGATCACCTGCTAAAGTTGAGATTGCTCCATCTGTCTGTGTTTCTGTTGCATTTGTCTTACATCAGCCGCAGAAACGCTTCAAATGGCCGTTTCAGAGAAAACCGTCAGGCCTAAGAGAGGCCCGATTAGGCCCTGATGAGCTTTGTTAGAGGGATTAGAAACAGGCCTGTAATTCAAAATGATTGAGATTATTACAAATATTAAGCATTGAATCCAGCGAGGCGTTTGTTGCTCGTTTCCACGTCAGATTGTTCTAAAAACCGGCAGCCCGATGGTTCAGAGGAGAGAACTAAAATAGGAGCAAAAGCCTCCTGAAACCAAAAAGGAAAAAGAGCCTCCTAATGAGAGCGAAGGTGAGCGGGGTCAGCCGCCGGGCGGGAAACCTCCAGAGTTATTACCCGCTAATGCCTTTTCCCCAAACACACAGGCTCTAATATCGATCGCTGACGTGTGGAAGCTCTGCTGGGAAATAAGGCGGATGAGTCCCGGTAGATTGCTCCTGTTAGAGACCAGCAGAGAGGGACTTAAAGTCAGAGTCTAGAAACGTCCAACTGAATGTTTTATAAGAGATAAACACACGTTTGAACTCATTTGATGAGCTTTTGGTGGAAATAAAATCTACCTGATCAACCGTGCTCCAGTTTTCCTTCATTTTCCACCTTTTATCGGTCACTTCTTGTTCTGCAATCACAGCATTGTGCGCTTAGATCACAAAAATTTAAATTTTTGTTGTGTAATTAAAAATTTCGGGACACAGTTTGTATATTTTTTTAAGCATTTTTCACTTGTCTGTATGCATAGTTTGTTAGGAGTGTATTTTCTTTAGCCAGGCATCTCAAAAACCAGATGTTTCAATAAAAAAATCAATTTTTCTTGTCTGAACAAAGGATGTCTTGAAGTAATTCATGGGGTCGATACTTTATTTTAATATTGTGCAACCGTGTTTTACAGAATGCTTAAAGAACCTAATAAAAGAAATATGACAAAAATATATTTGTACTCTTTCCTCCTGTTCTATGTCTCCACCTTATTTGTTTTAAACTTGGATTATTCAACATAGCTTGGCTATATAAACCATTTTTTTTGTGAGAAAAAGATGGAATAAACCAAATCTGGTGTGTTACATGTTAATAGCAAAGCTTGGGGGGGATTTTAGAGCTTTCCATGCTTCAACACACCTGAAATAAATCAACACATCGGCTGTCTGGTGAACAGCTCAACATCAAGATCAATTGAACCTAAATCAGTGAAACATCTCAAACCTACCCCCCCCCCCCACCCCCCCACTGGCCCCTAGGGTCAGGCCAGTTGACCCCTGGACGCTGTCCAGCAGGTTTTAGATGGTTCCTTGCTTCAGCAAACCTGATTCTAATCAATCTAGCGTCAGCAGTCCGAATGAAGGCAGAAATCCATTTAATCTGGATCAGGGAAATTCATTTCCTCCTAAATCTTTATATCGACGTGTTTGTTGTGGTTTGGGGCTCCGGAGGATCTGAAAAAGCCACCGTTACCTATCGGGGTTAGAGTCGATGTAATGTGGAAACTATCCGAATATCTTGTAGGAATTTTTACTGTTTCTTTTCTACTCTGTTGCAAAGTCGTTTGATGATAAAGATAAGTATCGTCGCTTATGTGTGTGGGTGTTTTTCCCTTTATTATCTAAAGCCTTTATCAGCGGCATCATTAGAAGCCGTTTGGTGGGTCCCGTGTGAACTAAACATTTATGTCTGCTTTTTAAAGAGGCTCCATCCTCAGCTCTAATTTCTGTTCTAACTCCCACACATTAGCAGTTTTTCGGGGGCTTCCTCTTGTCCAAATCGTTGGACTCAAACAGACAGTGTTGACGCAGTGCTGCATAATTAAAGCAGCATCGGTTACTTACAACTCCAGAAACCTCTGAGGGATCTGCAGATCGACCTGAAGAGTCCAACCACTCTGAAACTTAAAGGAAATCTAACTAAAAAAGTCACACATTGTCTACTCAAAGACAGAAGAAATGTTGCAAACTGAACACGAGCAAATGCAAAAACACTAAAAAATATACATATTTAAAGGACCAATAAAAAACAGTAAATTGACCACAGAGGAACACAAAGAAATTATATCCACATAAAAAACATGAAGAATTTTGAGATGAAGATAAACAGATGACAAATTACTCCAAAAATGTGTTGAATTATGATTAAAAGGTAAAATTTCTTGGATTTAATTTAAAATGTTACTCTGCAAAGTATACAAGGAACAGCAGCACAAACAGGCTCGAAAAACGTTTAAAACTATTTTTAATTTCAACTTTTTTAAGCAAAATACATTCCATATCAAACACACCATGAAGGCATCACCTGAAATGACTGGAATCGGAACCACATACACAGAAATAAGAGCACATTTCCATCCTCTAAATGGTCCTCTGAACTGCCAGCAGACAATAATGGTGTTACGTATTATAGGAGTCATAACATCCGATTTAAATTCAGACAAAAACCTTTGGCTTTTGTTCAGCAATGCCATCCTGAGAAAATGTTGAAATCGGAAATTATACAGAATATAGATAGAAATAGAGATAGTATGGCGACAAAGTTAAAGATAAATCTCAACTGGATTGTAAATAGAATTAAAAATATATATCTATATGGATTATTCTGAGATAAAATCTTTTTGTTTTGTTTCCCTTTAAATTGTAAAAGCCCCATGAGGACAAAATATCAATATTAAGTCTGTGTTCGTAGATTATTAAAATATGTTCGAGTGTGTTTTAGTTGTCTTTATGAAGTTTCAACCAGTTTCCAGAGATTTGGTGTTAGAAATAAATCCTTGTGATGTAAACAAATAAACCTTCGCTTTTCTTTTAAATGGGAATTACAAGGCAAACAAAATCCCCTGTAATAAATCCAATTTAGGTTTTGGTATTTTTGGTATCACTATTTACTGCTAATGTCCTAATTCGTTTTTTATGATGTTAATATTAGAAATCTTTTGTTTTTCTTTAATTGTATAGAAATGAATTCTAGGAGGCTTAATATAATATTTCACTAATATATTTAAAATATTGTCCTTTAGCCATTTTTTCAGTCTTGTTTAGAATAAATATGAAGCTAGCCAAAGGTCTGTTAGCTTAGCCGGGCTTTGTGAAACCAGACTTTGCTGAGAGTACTGCCTTTGTTGAGCAATATGCTTTACATTTTAAGACAAAAATGGTAACATCCATTGGTTTGAATAATTAAGTTATCTGATGTAAACCCAGCCAGCTCCAAGCTAAGCTAACAAGCTGTAGCTTCATATCTACCATATAGCAAATAAGCTAACTAGCTAGCAAATAGGATAACGATGTTTCTTGTCCAAATTAGTATTCAGCTTTATTTATCAAGTTTCTGTAGGCTTTTCGAATATATGCAAAACATATATTGTGCTTTTTAAGCACAACATACTGCTGCTTTTAGTTACATTTTACTCATTTAAAATTTGATTATTGATATGACACAGTGGGGGAGACTGAGCATTTGAATTCTCATAGTAGGGTAACAACAACAACAACAAAAAATTCCAAATGCAGTACTGAATAAATACATGTGAAAAATAGCATGTGGCTAGTCAAGAAATGCAACAGAGGCAATGGAATAGAAAGAGAGCGAGGAAGACTCTGGGGACTTTGAGTCTTGCAGTAAACATGGAAGTGCAAAATGGAGATAATAGGTCACAAAGCTGTTAGTGGAAGGAGAATCCCAGCGCTGGCAGACCGCCGCACCACTGACCGATGAACTTCAGGACGTCCTGACACTCTGGACTGTGAGTGGTCTGCAGGGACGGACACAACCAGAGACGGTTATGTAACAACTGCTCCTCTCAACACCATAAAAAAGCTAATAAAAATAGACACACACTGAGCATCTTCAGCGCTAAAGGACCAACAACAGAATCAACACAACCAAGAGCAGCCGACAGCTCAGATTGTTCAGCCTGTCTGTTTGTTGGAATCTGGCTAAAAAATGACTCACTTTAGCATTGTATGCTTTCACATAATCTATGTAAATTACTGATTGTCTTATTCCTTTTAGAACTATACTTTTGTGTTAAATTCTCTGGCTGTAACCACAGATTCTCTTTTTCTGTCTGTTGCTTTAGACACACGCCATTAGGTCAACACACACACACAAACTTTGTTACCACATTCCAAGGTTTTCTGCATTAATTAGGACCTGGCCTGTTCATGTTAGGGTTAGGGGTAGTAAGTAACTGGCGACAAATACCCATAGACCTAATAAATTAATTTTTTTAGACTTGATCTACTCTGGTTTATTCTCAGGTTTCCAAGTAAAGAATCGGGCTAACGTGAGTGGAGGCTAAACCCTGGGACAGCACAGAAAAGTGGGAAAAGCTAATATGAAATCATCTTTCTAGCATTTTATATTTCGTGTAGTGTACAACTTAATGCAAACTCAAAATAGTCAGGACCCGTTTTTGTCTGGTCTCACCTTTGTGGCCATGAGGAATTTGTTCCAGTCTTCTTTGTTGGCCGCTTTTCCCGCTGAGGAGAACTCGATTTTGTTCCTCAGCACCGGGTAGCCTAAAAGCAGAAGCAACACACACAGTTAAAAAGCACAAACTGGGAAAACACATTTTTTGGATGATAATTGTCTATTACTCGGTTTTCAGCCTAAAAAAAAAGAAAAAATCTGAATTAATTATTCTATTTTCAAGTCAGGCCCTCCAACAATCATTCATAAAATAGTCACCTTTGCTGATGTATTTATTCAAATATGAACAGTAAAGAGAAAAGAAGAACAACTGACACTGTACAGGCAGGACCTGGGATTATGGATTTAGAGAATAGTCACCTTTGCTGATGTATTTATGTTTTCAATTGATTCAAATATGAACATTTTGAAGAATTAATCATTCTTTGGTATTTAAAAAGATCACATAAGTTTCCCCATAAATAACAATCTTTCTGAGCCTTGTTTAGTTTTCAATTATCAATATTTTTAAAGTTTGATTTCCATGTTCCAGGCCTCGGGTTAGTTGACTGTGGTCCCAAATACGATGCTACTGACAGAGGTGAAGACTGGCAGATGGTCGTAGAGGATTAATCGGCCAAAACTGAAAATGTTGCTGGAGCGAGACGACAGAGAAAATCAACACAGGACCAAAAAAAGACCTGAGGCAAAGAAAAAGGTCGTCCCTGGTAAAAGCAACAGAATTAGGGCAGGAAAAACTACGACGAGTAACAGTCAGTAACCTGGGAAGCTGTAAAACTAACAGAAGAGAACAGGATCCAACCAAATAACAAGACATGAACCCAAAAATACACATTTCTGACAAATTGCCCCAGATCTGAGGCTCATCAATCAGAATACTTGAAAGCCCCAAAGCTGTGATCCCAGAGGCCGTCGGATGTAAAATAAAGGGGAAATAAAACACTGTAGCCACCTATAGTAACACTATAGTTATTCTTATTTTATCTTATCTTATCTTAAGTGTCTTGAATAGGAATCAAATAAAAACAAAAATTTATTTTTTATCATATTTTATATTTCTTCTTTCAAATTGCACTTAACATGTCCACTTCAATATGCAAAATTATATACAAAATCTAGTCATAAGGAATTATTACATGATTACGCCACCAGTCACTAGAACAGCACAGACACTCAAAAATGGCACATTATTTGCAGAAAATTAATTCCTTATCCAAATTTTTTTTTAGACCAATTAGGTGAAATAGGATGATTTTCTACGGCACACCTGGCCATCACTCGCGGCACACTAGTGTACCGAGGCACAGTGGTTGAAAAACACTGGGTTAGAGTTTGGTCCCAGGCCCGGTTTGTTACCCGTGAGGACGCAGGGCAGCGATCGCAGGCCGGAGCCGGCCGCCACCAGCGAGGCCTCGAAGGTGTTCCTCTCATCCAGGGGCAGGACCTGCTCCAGCCGGTGGTCCATGGACACCATCAGCACCCAGTCACGGATCTGCTCCCGCTGGGCGTCCTGCAGCCACAGGGGGAGACAAAACCCCCCAAAAAGTCACCTCTGGATCTATATCAACCCGTCCTCTAGAGTTAGCTTTAACCCTGTAATGCCAAATGTATCATATTTGATAGATGCGGTTTCTGAAATGTTTTGCGTCTGACACCTTTTGCTTAATTTAATGGTAAAAACTTTGCTAAAAATCATATTGTACACAATCAGATACACCTGATAACAGGGGGCAGAAGACTACACAAAAAATATCTTGACTTATCGCATAGTAATAAATTATTGATATGAAAAATGTATTTCTGTTTTTTCTTTTTACATATTTTGTTAAAAGGCCAAATAAAGACTTCAAACAAAAAAAAAAGTAATTTTTTGTTACTGGGATATATCAATGATAAATCTGTGTTGGTAGATTATTAAAATATGTTTGAGTGTGTTTTAGTTGTTTTTATGAAGTTTCAACCAGTTTTAAGAGATTTGGGATTAGAAATAAATCCTTGTGATGTAAACAAATAAACATTCAATTTTCTTTTAAATTGGAATAACAAGTCAAACTAAAGCCCTTGGAATAAATTCTATTTATTTTTTTGTATTTTTGGTGTCACTATTGGCCAAAACGTGAGTGTTTTTTTCTACATGTGTGGAGGCCTTACGCTGACGCAGAGTTTGGTGGGAACGGGAACCTCGAAGGGGATGTCGGTGTCCAGGAAGTCTGAGTGGTCCAGAGCGTTCAGGGTGCCCTCGTCGATGGCCTGGCACAGAGGGGGGGGGGGGAAACCGGGGGAGAAATTGTCTTCTTCATGAAAGTCTGGGCCTGTTGGCTTCTTAAGGCTCCTGAGATACTCACATCACACAAGTCCAGGAAGTGGTTGAGGAAGATGAAGGCCATGTTCTCCCAGCCAACGGCCTGCCAGCATAAAATCCTACATTTACTGATTTTAAAGCACATTACAATACTAAATAAAGCTAATCCAGCCTTTACAGCGTTGGAACATTTAAAAAGGGGGCCTCGGAAGACGTTGATCAGCCTCCTTTCACTCAGATCTGACTGTCTCAACACACTGAATTTGCAGATCGGTGGTTTGGAGGCGTTGGCATGCCTCCCTCCTGTGGAAAATCTATTGGACCAGCTTTAGGGGGCTGGACTGATCAGCTTTGGACTCAGTGACCAGTGCACCTGAGTTGGGTCATAAAAACTAAGAGCTTTGCAGACAGCTGTGTAATACATAAAATAACCCAACTCACAAAACATACATCAAGCAAGGAAAGATCTTTAAAATTGTTCATTTTGCGCATAATTCAGACAGTTTACAGGAGTTTTTTTGTATCCACAGGAATTATTTAAATATCAGAAAACCCTAAAGCAGCTCTGAAGAACGTCTGGATGCCATGTCCTTCACATCCACTCTAAATTAAGGACCAAGAGAGATAACTGTTGCTTCAATGCAGCTTTAATACCATTATGTCTGAAACTGCTGAAAAATATTGGATCCAACTTAAATTTTCTCCACCGATTATGATCTGAAACGCTTGTTTGAACGGTTGTCTCTGTTCTCATGACTCTGTAGATAATTCAGAAGCCATATGTTCCATTCAACCTGAGTAGTGTGTTGTGATTGGATGTTTTGGATGGGAATTGTTGGGTTTCTGTAATTAACTTCAGAGTAGGGTCTGACCTGCTCTGTTTGGAAAGCGCTGTGAGACAACTGTTGTTGTGATGTGGCGCTATATAAATGAAATTGAATTGAATTGAATTAATTTTAATTTTGTAATGTCATTGTCTGAACGTGTGTTTGGACTGATTTTGTATTTTGTGATTTTGTGTTGTTTGATCTTCCTGCCTCAGGACGCCAGATGTAAACTAGCAACTATGCTATAATCTGGCTCATTTACAATCTGTAAGAGATTGTTCATTAATGTGCACTGTCCTGATTAAATAAATAAATAAATATCATTGCAGAGTCAAAGAAATGTAATCCGTTCTCCGGCCTTTTGACCGTCTGACCCACCTTACAGGCCAAACCCGCCTCGTAAAAAGCCTTATCTGCCGGGATGATTTCCGTGTGGCGCAGCAGGGACACCGACAGCTTGGCTGATATGCTGAGCTGTGGACAAACATCAAAGGAGAAGACAAAAGGAACCAGGTGAGCGCGTTTCCCAGCAGCCCGGTGGGAGCAGAACAGGGCCTTGAACGCACCAGCTGCTCGAGCCCTTTGGCGGCGGAACGGGAGGCCAGGTAATGGCCGACCAGCAGCATCTGCTCGAACTCCTGGTGAGCCGGGGAGTTGGCCTCGGCCGACTTGGACACGTTCTCGCACTGGAAGCACAAAGACAGGAGGGCTAAAGCAGCCGTTCGGGGAACCGTCCCGTTACAGATCGGAGAAGTTCAGTCAACGCGATTAAAAAATAAATAAATTAAAGGAGACATATTATACCCTATTTCAATAAGTTAAAGACCTGCTGGGGTTGATGGAATCACTCAGGGAAAAGAAGAATGTGTTTAGTTGAAGGTTTAGGAGATACTAAGCTTTAGTCCTGTTTTGAGATTTGCTTGATATAACAAGCCACTAGATTTAAAAGAGACATATTATACCCTATTTCAACTAGTTAAAGACTTGCTGGGGTTGATGGAATCACTCAGGGAAAAGAAGAATGTGTTTAGTTGAAGGTTTAGGAGATACTAAGCTTTAGATAAGTCCTGTTTTGAGATTTGCTTGATATAACAAGCCACTAGATTTAAAAGAGACATATTATACCCTATTTCAACAAGTTAAACTAGTTCCCTGGTGTCCTAATGTAATGTCTGTTACAAGCTTTGGTCAAAATCCCATAAGGATGAAGCCCAATAGCAGTTCAGTCCCCCTGCCTAACCCTAACCCTAACCCTAACCCTAACCCTAACCCTAACCCAAAACAGCCCCGTTCAGAGCGCTCGCTTTGGAGTGCCTTTCTCTTTAAATGCAAATGAGACACAGGCAATCCGCCCACTTCTTCAGGGAGGTGTGCCCACGTCGGCACGCTAACGCTACCATGCTAACGCTACCATGCTAATGCTACCATGCTAACGCTACCATGCTAACGCTCACGCTACCAGGACGTCTGCCACAGATAGGGGAGTAAGCTGAGGGGGGGGGCAACATGCAGGTGAAAGGCTGGAATATTATAATGAGCTAGAGCTAATGACGTCAGAAACTACCCACTCCTGAAACCTCCTGATTTATCTCCTGGATTCAGACTGAGGCGGCCCACAAAAACATGACTGAGTCATTTTTTTTCACACTTTACCTGCTGATAGGCCCTCCACAGTCCCAAATGTACATAATCAAATGATTAAAAACTTGATTTTGCATAATATGTCCCCTTTAAAAAAGGCTTTTGAGTCACCAGCTGCAGCAGGAAGTCCCGCAGGTGGGCCCAGGTGCGGTACGAGTCGGGCCCGTCGGTGTCGGGGACGCTGGTCAGGTCCAGGAACAGGCGCTTGTAGATGTTGAAGTTCTGAAAAGGGGAAATGTGAAAACAGGGCCTCCAGACTGTGGGCTGTGTGGCTCCTCGGCCTGGTGTGCGTACCTGCGGGTTTGGGAACGCTCCGTGTTGTAAGTAGACCTGGACGGCTTTCAGGGAGTCGCCCTCCTTAATGAGGTGAGTGGCGTACAGAGCCACGTACTTATGAAGGATCTTAAAATTCTGGAAAAAACCCAAACAAACACGATAAAATCAGAAGGCCAATCCAGAACCCAGAGGAGCTCCCAGGACGGATGAAAGCTATTTTCCTGAGTGTGTGAGCAGTGCACCTGTTTGGATGCCGTTTCCAGACATTTGTCCCACTGGCCTTTCTCAGCGTACAGATCCAGAGCGGCCATGATGTCCACCCCCACCAGCTGAGCACACGGTCAAACAGATTTTTAGCTTTAGCTCCACGACAAACAGGAAAATTCAAACTGGACCTATAGAAGTTCTCTGGGTGGACATTTTGTCTTCTTCTGATCCAAACAAGCAGAATGGTCCAGCTGTCCCCTCCCGTTTCCCACAAACTTCCCTTTTCTTGATAACATTTCTGATTCTAACTGAATCTGGGAGCTTAGTTTTGTTCCAATGAGACTCTCATTTGTAATAAATAAAATATGAAGTAAATGTGAGCGAGTGTAGATGGACGTACAGACTCCGCCCGTCCTTGGTTCTTCAGGAAATCTTTGTATTTCTGGTCCACGTAGTGCTCGTACCTGCCAGAACCAGCAGCAGACGTTATTCATCTCATTTTAAACAACCACCATTCTTCTTAGGGCGTGTAAAGGCGTTTAGTGTTGGGGAACCTCGGCTCCAGCTCCTTGGCGACTCGCTTGGCTTTGTTCCACTCTTCTCCGTCGATGAAGACATCAATGGCCTCTTTGATGAGGTCCATGTTCAGGTAGAGCTCGGCCGCCTTGAAACCGGCAGCAAAAAAAAGGGAGACAACGTACAACAAAATGGAGTTAGGACGCTGCCGTTTTGGCGGTGTTTGGGGGTTTTAGGGCGTGTCTGGGAGTTTCCACCCACAGCGCTGAACTTCCGGAGGCCGGCGAGGCGCGGCCCCACCGCCTGGACCACTTCCACCGCCCGCTCCCCGCTCAGGAACTTAATGGACAGCTCCGCCGCCTGGAAGCACACAACTCAACATCTGAGCAAAGCAAAGCCAGACATCTGAAAGGAGACGTTGTAGTTGCCTAAATCATGTGAAAGTTGAACAGCTCTGCAGCGTTTTTTAAAGAAATGACACAAAGAAATTGCACGTTAGCTTCTGACAAAGGTTGTGACTCGATAGAAGTGCACATGTAACCATTAGCTGTAACAGTAAAGAGGGTCTAATAAAACATTAAAATGAACAAACATGCAAACTAAAATCCCAAATACATGAGAGAGAGAAATCTTTCTGCTCTGGTGTTTTAGCCTCTGAGCTAGCTGGGGCTGTTTGACTTCACAGCAGAAATCCATCATCTCGTCTTGGGCTGCTGTAAAGGCTTAAAAATGCACAAAACGGTTCATTCAGGCACGTAGCTTGGCATACAAACCCCATCCATTCATATCAAACTCCAGAAGACCGTCCTGTATATAAACCATATGGTTCTTATATAGGGTTCAAACTCATTTGTCATTTCTGAACCACTTATTTTTCAAAGTGCTGGACTCCTGCTCCAAATAATGTGCATTGATGAGCAAACGGGGGCTCCATGTCCTTTGTTAATGATAAAAAAATAGGCGTTAAAGGTGTTTCTATAAGCTGTTGGATGTGCAGCGTTTCTATATTTTGGGTGTTTATATGACTCCATTTTAAGACCTGCTAAGAGCCGAATGATTACTTTTGATCTAGTCTTCAAAAGGAAAACCTTTGTGAGTACATCAGTAAAACTGGGCTGCTGATCATTAACGGAATAATGTGTTGGCAGAAAATGCTTGTCTGAAAAACTGTCCGATTAAATAACTAATCATTTAGAATGATTTTTACAAAAGAAAACCACTAATCCATCCAGCTCCAGTTTGCAAAATGAAAAAGATCCAAATACATCTCAATGTGAAAACACAATTAGGTTTTACGGATGAGCACATTCACCACTAGATTTAAGAAGATAATTAACATCTGCCCAGATGTGGCTCTCAGCTCTGCCTTCAGCCTTACATCAAATATTAGGAGACAAGAAGTAAGAATAAAGGCTAATGTGCACGTTCAGGCTCACCACAGGAAGGAAACATATTGATCCGGGTGACCCTGTGATCTTTCCTCAAACACCACCAGGAGATCAAACGTTCGATACTCAAACGAGTGTAACTCCTGACCCGTCACTCACGCTGACGCTGGGTTTTCTGGGTTAATCAAACTCCCACAGGGGACGAACCCATCGATCCCCGAGACTCCATGACCTTTTTCCTTTAGCATCACAGTGAGAGCAGGCATTCAGATTTCAAATGATCTCATCCCCCCCCCCCCCGGCAGTCGATCGCCCGCCTGGTCTCTGTGCGTCTTCATGCTCCGAGCAGAAGCCTCTCTATCCACGCCGGTGACACCGTGACCTTTCCCGGGGTTGTGCACCAGAGATTTGGCAACTAAAATCGAATCTACTCTTTACACCTCGGCGCTGAGTTTGAAAATTTGGAAATATTCACACATGAAGGGATTTTTAGTTTTTTCAGCTGATATCCAAGAAAATAAAAAAAATTAGTAAAATGGCTCTTGTTTAATTAACTCATTGACCGCCAGCCATTTTCAGAACAGAGAGTCCCATACTGCCATTTTTTTTAGCATTTTGACTGATTTTTCAAGAGCCACAGAATAGTTTGTGCTCTGACTATGTAAACACCCAACACACCAAAAGAAAGAGTAGACTCTCTTCTTTCATCAGGAAAAAAAAATGTGTTTCTACCTTATTCTACCTTATTCCTCGACTTGCGTCTCACCGGCGACATGTTCTCTCATAGCGAACCGTTACCTTTTTCTTAATTGCCTACAGTCTATGCTCATCTCCCATCAAAAGTGGCACTGCCACCTAGAGGGTCAATTTGTTACTACATACTCTGTCTAGAAGCCTGATATTTACGGACAAGCTTTAGCAGATCGTCCCCCAAGCCACTCGCGTTGAAAAACATAAAAGACGTCTATAGACGTCTTTGGCAGTCAACGGTTGTATTTGAATTGACGTCTATAGACGTCTTTGGCAGCCAATGAGTTAACCATGGCTTTGCTCTATCTTCTTACTTCTGGTTGAAACCATTTGAACTGATCTGAGGCCGAGCGGAAAGTGGCTGTTACCTTCATCCAGCATTTCTCCATCAGAGCCGTGTTGGAGTCGTCCTTCACCTTCAGGTAGCACTCCACGGCCCGGGAGTATTCACCCGCCTGCTCCCACTCTCTGGCCCGCTCCAAAAGGCCCTCCACACCCCTGAAACAGCAAACGGACTCCAGCATGAGGAGCTGCAAATAAATTGTATACTTTTCTAACCATTTCCCAGCTATTTTAGCAGAGAAAGCAAACAAAAGACAACAATGTCCGTCCAGAATTCTGCTCAAAAAGAGGATGGAACCCTTTTAAATTGGCACATTTATAACATTAACAAGCCTTTCCTGTTAACCCTGCTTTGATAATAGGCCTAACAGCAACCTGAGCGCCGATTCCTGTTAATAACTTGTTTGTCATTAGTTTGAACAGCGAATTAAATAAACACTGTCCATCTAACAGCTGAAGGTATATTAGCAAACAACAAGGACACGGATTCAAACTCACGAGGCCTGAGCTGTTAACTCTGCAGGAATAATTCAGTATTTTTTTCTCTTTACCCCCTCGTTTTCATTTGTATCCATCGGGGCCTTTTGATGTTTTCTCCCACTAGTCATCAAAGAGGCAGAAGCGATGGGCGGAGGATGAGAGCCGCCGGTTCGCTCGCTAACGAGCTGTTCCTTATTGGGAGTTTCGCTTTGAGAAAGCATGCGAGTTGGGCTTTAATAAAGCATCAAACTGGCTCTTTGTGCATGGATGATGCTGGCAGGCTGCCAGAGAGAGGCTGTGAAACATTCACTGTGGGTTTGTGGTGATTTCAGCCTCTTTCAGCTGTAGAATAATGCCCAATAAAATGTTTTTTAAAAAAGGTGAGTCACGTTCAGATGTAATAACGCTAGCATATACCTTCGGTATTGTTATTTTCTGTTTTCACGTGGGAAATAAAGACGAATCTAATCTTTCAGAACTGCCAGGACAGAAAGCCCGCGGGTTTATCTAACGATTCCAGTTAAAAGCTCACCGCACTCCCTTCTTGGAGGTCTCAATCTCGTACTCCTCCTGTAGCAGGGACAGCTTGTTGGGGAGGTACTCCTTACAGATACGCATGGCGTCGCTCCACATGTCTGCATCCTGATGTCAAACACAAAAATATCTCTGCTCAGTAAATCAGACAGACAGACGGTTTCTAAACGGGATGCAACGTTTCTGAGTTAAAAACGGAAACCGGCTGAATGTGGGCTTACTTTGTAGAACTTGACAGCTAATTCGGGCCGCTGGGCTCGGAGCAGGAAGGCCTCGGACTTTTGAAAGTCCTTCTGCTCGAAGCAGAACTTGGCCTGGCCGACCAGAACCTCGGACACGCTGTCTGGATCGTGTCCCTCTGCCACCCGCTGCGCGCTGGCCCAGTCCTTGTTGTGAACGTACCTGGAACAGTTCAGACACACGCTCACATATTCCCACAGCACCCGAGCTAAAAAGGTTCTTCTCTCTTTTTGTTATTGTTACTAAAAAAATTGTTTTTTAGTAACAATAAGAGACACGGGGGGGCTTCAGAACTTACCGAACACATTGAAAAAATAGGCAGTCAGCAGGAGTGGAAATCTATTTAAAACCCCTTTTTTTTTTTTTTTTTAAAAGAAGCTCTTTACTGATATTTGTTGGGAGTACAAACATCAATGCACTTATCAGTGCACACAATATGCACAATATGCATGGAACGAGCACAATCAAGACATTTTACAGCCTATTTAAAGGTCCAGTGCGAAGTGATTTGGAGGCTTTTAGCAGGACATTACCAACCGAATAGTAACTGCCTCCCGAAAACATGAAAGGTCAGCCTCCTATGCTCCGACTGGGGCTGAGGAGGAACATGCTGTTTGGGCCACTGAAGGCACACACACACCCGGACCTGATCGGTCTGTGGCAGGCTGCCAAAGCGGAGGGTGGAGGGTTGTGGTAAAAGGCCAGAGCAGACATGTCCTTCTGGTCGCTGCGTGCCTCATCTCCAGGGACCAGCTGAGGAGTCACCAACACCTCCTCCTTTAATACATCCTCTCTGTCTAAAAGTGCCCCAGGTGGCAATGTGGCGAAAAACTGTTGTTTTCACAACCACTGAGAAGCAGAAGAGCACTTCAGGACACATGTGCTGTGTCCTCTTCCTCCTCTTTTTGGACTTCTTTAGTCCATTACAGATCATGTGACCTCTTTGCACATACGCTCGCTTTCAGGCCGATTTCATCTGGATAAAAGCTGAAATATACTGTATCTCCTTGACTTTTTTATTTAAAGAGATTTAAAGGAAAATTCCTAAAAAAAATGAAAACATTCCTCCAAAGGTTAAGCTGATTGTGGAGCTGATTTCAGAGCTTTGGGCAGAAATCGTCTCCTTCAGAACTCACATAGACACGGCTTCTTTGGGCTTCCCGGCTTTGATGAACTCAACTTCAGCCTCAGGAAACTTTCCCTGGAAGATGAGACGGGTCAGAATTACGGATTAACAGGGATTGATCATATTAACAACAACAGGAAAAGCATTCCAGGCTGTCTGAATAGTCCAATAGGAGCTGGTTTTTAGGTGCTTAATGAAGACTAATTTGGGGTTTTAATGAGCCAAATAGCATAATGGCATAATAATCATAATAATAATAATAGCATCAGGGTTGCAAACAAAGCTGGTTGGATAGATGACTTACCTCGTCTTCCAGGTACATGGCGTGCTTGAAGTGGATCTGAGGAATCTTTTCCTTACTTGAAAGGCGGGCCAAGTCGAAGGCAAAGTCGAATGAGCTGGAGAGAGAAGAGGAAAAAAGCGTGAGATCCTGTGGTGCTCACACAGAGGATTGGAGGTTCCCTTTCATAATGCCACGCTCACAGATTGATAATGGCCGACTCGATGGCGTAGTCCAGCAGGCCGAACTTGTTGAGCAGCTTGACGGCAGCTTCTCCCCCCAGACTCCGGGCCCAAAGGTACGCCACCTGCTTCTGGGCCCCAGGACCCCCGTGGCTCTTCGCCACCTGATGCACACCAGCACATTCGTTATATGGGGGCGGTTAGTTTATAACAGGAGAGTTTAACGGTTCACAGCTTTATTCTTAGGTTTTTTATTCATAATAATCATAAACTGTAACATTTTCAATTAAGACAGATGTTTTTATTTCACAGCGGTGGCTCATTTAACGTGTTTTAATACCTGCCTTCAAAAATACATGAGGCCTGAAACTCTTCATATGTTTTCAAATGTAATAAGTGTCATCTGAAGAGAATTAAATGTAGAAATGAGCAGCAAAAAAACTGAGTTGAAAACAAAAAAATTCAATACATAATTATGTTTTCCATAGACTTAAAACTTAAAAACTTATTGTTTATTTAACCTTAATTAAAAGTCCTTATTTGAATTGAAATCATTCAAAATTATCTATTAAAATTAGTCTTTTTTTTTACCAAAAGCTGTCTACATTGTTAAATTGTCCAATCCTGATTTAAACTCTACAACACGGGAGCCTTTGCTTCTACTGACGTTTCCTTTTGGGTGCTGACAATGAGTGTGCTGTGCGTACCCGGTAGGCCTCCTCCCACATGTCGTTGACTCTGTACATGTGGACAGCAGCTTTCCACTCCTCCGCCTCCATGAAGTGGTACTCTGCCTCTGAGAACCTGGATTCAGCCTCCAACTCCTGCAAGAAGCATGAGCGACAAACACAGGAACATAAGTAATGCTGCACACACAGAGGCCTCACAGCCACCTCATGCAAATGTTAGAATTTGGCTAAAATGACTCATTTTAGCATAGTATGCTATAAAATAATCTATGTTAATTACTGATTGTCTTATTCTTTTTAGAACATTACTTTTTGTTAAAGTCTCTGGCTTTTCTCTCTTTTTCTTTCTTTGTTCCACACCTTTAGGTCAACACAAACACACACCATTTGTTACCACATTCCAATGTCATCTGCATGAATTAGGACCTGGCCTGTTCATGGCCAGAGGTAACTGGCCAATAGGACTTGGTTGTGTCCAGTCCTCCTTTGAGGAGGCGGATCCAGCCCAGGAGATAATGCCCATCACCCAGATCTCAGGGCTCTTTGCCCACTGAGACCCAGAGAGAGGTTTTTGTCTGTTAGAGCCCAGCTGAACCAATAAATGTAATTTTTTATACTTTTGATCCACTCTGGTTTATTCTCAGGTTTCCAAGTAAGTAATCTGGTTAACACAACTTACGCAGAGAAACAAAAACAATTGTGTTCAGTTAGTCTGGATTGACTTTTATCAGATGAACCGTATGAGAGTTTAACGTTTTATGTGGGAGTTATTAACCCTAACCGCCCCTTGTCTTGGCATGTTAACGTGATTGATGTGTGATTGTACCTTGGCGAGGTGGAGATGTGTCTCGGTCAGCAGGTCGGGGTGATGTTTAGCCACCAGGCGCACCACGTCGTCGAACATGCGGTTCTTCTTGTACATGGTGATGGCGATGTCCGGCTGCTTCACGGCCGCAAACAGCCTGCAACCCGGCGAGCGTTTGCTGATGAGCTCTTCCCCTTTTTAAAGCGTTCGTTCGACTGGAATACGGTCGGAGACGTCTTTACCTCTCGGCCTCCTTGAACTTCCCGTCCCTCTCCAGCTCCTGGGCCCTGCTGACGTACAGAGCTGTGACCTCCTCCTCTGTCATGCACTCCACTGCCAGCTGCACACAAAGATCACAGCAGTCAGACTCACAGCGGAGCAGAAATGAATGGTTGGATTGTTATTTCAGCTTTCTGGATGAATCCCACATAAAGTACAGTAGGGGGTTAATATGAAAAGAGAAGAAACTCTGTTTTGTTTTGTTTTTATGTGTCCCTTTCTGTTGTATTAGGTTGTAATATACCCCTTTTATCTTTATCGGACTAATGCAGGGGTGGCCAACTCCAGGCCTCAAGAGCCGCTGTCCTGCAGGTTTTTAGAGGTTTCCCTGCTTCTACACACCTGATTCACATCATCACAACATCAGCAGCCCTGTTCAGAGCTGGAGCACTGTTAGAAGAGATCAATTCTATCTGAATCAGGTGTGTAGGAGCAGGGAAACCTCTAAAACCTGCAGGACAGCGGCTCTTGAGGCCTGGAGTTGGCCACCCCTGGACGAATGTATCTGTTTCTCTTTACAATAATAAAAAAAGTTGTTCACAAAAAAGAAAAGAGAAGAAAGTAATCATTTGAAACTGAATTCCAGAGCTGGAACGTACCTTATGAGCCTCCTCCCAGCGTCCCGCAGCGGTGTACATGTCTATGGCGTCTTTAATGTGGCCTCCTTTAACAAACAGCTGCTCTGCCACCTTCGTGTAACAAACAGACACACAGTTCACAGAGAGGCAAAGTGTGAAAAACCGAGAATGTACGTCGCATCCACAAGTTGACCGAGAAGAAAAGTAATTTGAATAACCCGCTGAATGCGTCATAAAAACTCCCCGCAATGCACAGAAATGTTTGCCCTTCTGATTAGAAAGCGCCGGCTCTTTGTTCTTCCCGGGGAAAGATAGAAACGGCAGGTGTGCGCCTCCCTCATTGTTTAGAGTTTGCATTGGATTCCTCTTTTCTGTGGCTTCCACGGCTTGCCGAGCACAGAGCTTGTTATCTTAATTACTTTCCGTGCATATTCTCAAAGAGCAACCTGACTGTAATGGGCTGTTATTTTCGGTGTGAAGGCGGCCGGCTTCGGCTGAGCTCATCAGGACGAGCACATCACCAGCATCTCCCCTCCGTTTCTCTGTCTTCCGCCTACTCCTTTTCCTCTCCTTTCAACAGTCCTTCCCAGTCGTTTTCAAGCCACAACCGGCAAACTGCTCCAACTTTGAGAGCTGATTCAGAGCCAGGAATCCACATTTAGCTCCGTGTACATAATGTAAGTGTTACACAATCCGATTGGGTGGCTTTATTTAACCCTCTCTGATTTTCACCAGCTATAATCACAAGACGATAATGAATTAAAGACCATGTTGAATAGAAATTTATCTTACTCATTATACTATTTTAAACCCTTATCCTGACTCTTTATGTCTTCATTAAATAGACACATATAGGGATACCTGAAGCTTACTTTAGCTTCAAATCTGCTTAAAAAGTGGAGTCTTTTGATTAGAAACCTGCTATCTGAAGGTGTTTCTTTAGATTTTTACCTCGAATTATGCCAGTAATTCCATGATCCAAATGGTTATCGAACCCAGCTCTATGATAAACATCACATAGCAGGTTCTGACTTGCGAAGTGTTTAAAGGCTCCTTTTAGGGTTATTAGGATGTATAGATGTCTACATTATGCAGCAGAGCTTAATACTTAAACATAGAAAGCTCTTTTTGTGCAGAGACGACCAGAACACAAAAACAAATCAAACCAAACAAAAAGCTTTGTGCATCTGTGTCAGATCAAACAATAAAGCACACTTTAGGAGATAAAATTCTGCTGTAAAATCGACAAACCGAGCAGCAGGGATGTCTAAAGTCAGAGTTTAGCCGACCCCAACAGCTCCTGAGCCTCTCTCACCTCGTAGTCCTGCATGGAGGCGTAGTGCTGAGCGATCCTCACGTAGTATTTCCCCGCCGACGGGTCCTCCTGTAACTCCAGGATGTGGACGGCTTTCTTCCACTGACGAGCTGTGATGGCCGCCTCGATGGCTTTGAGGGAGCAGCTACGAGAAGGACATTAAAAGTGGTCAAATCAAACCAAATGAGTTGGTTTAAATTTCCTACAACTTCGTATTTTTCTTTCTAAATTTTTAAGTACAAACCTAACTACACACACAAAAAAGACAAATCTGGGCCTGATTAAGTGTATTTATTTGGTGTTTTTTAGGATATTTAAAGCAATCTCCTCTCATCTCTGCAGGACTGTTCTGGTGGTGCTTTAAAGTGCTGTTGCGTTGCCTTTTGATGCGTCATCTTTTCTGCTCTCCATCTGCCCATGTCTTTGTCTCTTCATGACTCCCCCCCCCCCCCCCCCCAAACCACCCCCCCCCCTTCAATGAAGTGGTTGATGGCAGCATCCATCTGTTTCTGCTGGACGAGATAGTCTCCCCAGGCCTCCTCCAGTTTCACCACCTCGGCAGGGAAGGCGATGCGAGCCAGCTCCACCGCTACAGGAAGCAGGAAGGAGAAACTTTATCCGAGGATGAATCGACTCGGCCCTGACTTGCTGTCTGACATCTTCATTTACACATACCGTCCCTTATGCTTTTAAATAAAAACACACAAAGTTGTACCTTTCCTGAAGGCCCCTCCTTTGCAGTAGCAATCCAAAGCTCTCTGGTTGTTCCTGATCTTCTCGTACAAATCACCAGCCTAGTCAGGGAAAAGAGACATAAAGAGTTAATACGTCGGGCTGCTGAGTAACGTTTAGTTAATAACAGAATGCACAGCTTATTCACAAATGCATCACAGCCAGAAAAATAAAAAATACTGGGACTCATTTAATGGTGACAACACATCTGAAATCAGGTGAAACGGGATAACAAACAGCTTAACAGGAGGAGATACTAAATAGGAACTCATTTTGATGTCAGACTAATAAATAATGCAGGAATAAGTCATATCGTGTATCATTGTGATGCATCTCTGCTTAATATGTCATTTCAACAGAACAAAAGAGCTACTGATTAGCACTTTTTGCTGTTTTAATACTTTAGAGAAATGCATAACAGTGATATTAATCTTGTTCTCACTCATCACAACCCCAAAGCCAACAATTTTCATGCCTAAAAGCAGACGTATTTTGGGAGAAAATGAACATGGTTTTGTTCTTTGGAGCATTTATTTAGGTGTCTGGTTTCACTGAAACACAACTCTAGCATTTGACTTCGTTTTTTGTTTCTTTGTGATGTGTTTTTGTTCAGATAACACAGAGTCCTACTTCTTGGGAAGAGTTGAATAAAGAACGGGGCTCTTAGTGTTTTTAGACTTATGGCCATTTAGCAAGGTGGCTGCTCAGCTCCTCAAAGCTCATGAAGGAGTGTGAACCAATCTGTAGCCGGTTCATTGAATCTGTTCCCCAGGCTTTGTTTTCCAATCTTTCGAGAACAATCTGATTGTTCTCAAACAATTTGAGAACAATCTATTTATTAATTCCTCCATTCTTTGATGATTAATCAATCAATATAAGAAAAACTAGATAGAATCATTATCAGAGAATCAGTTTTTTTAGAAAGCTGACATTTTCTAAATGTTTATTTGCCCCCCAGAAGCAGCATAGTTCCTGTGCTGAGGCCGTTTCTCCTCTGGTATCTGTTAGGAGCAGACAGGAAGGAGGGATGAAGGAAAAAAGGGGTTGAGCGAGGCCACTCACTCTCTCATAAAACTCCCCCTTGATGAGACTGGCGGCGATCCGACCGACGGTCTCGCTGCTGCTGCTGATCTCCGGGTGGCCGATGGCCAGACGGGCGGCTTTGGCCGGCAGTCCGGCCTTCAGGTACAGGTGGATGGCGCCCTGCAGGTCCCCCTCGCTCTCCTTCACCTCGCCGGCCTTCTCGTCTTGGCCCGTCTCCGTCAGCCACTGGAAGTAGTTCCCGCGCAGGCTGTCCAGCTCCGGGTGACCCTGCAGTGGTTTGTGTCACACAGAGGCAGAAGCAGATTAAAAAACACAGCTAAGACATTCGATCTGGGCCAAACGTCCTTTAAAAGAAAGAAACTTTGGTTAAACTTTTTGAGTTAAAACCCAAAATGTCTTTCCTTTTTCTGTCTGTCTGTTTTTTCTTAGTCTTTTTTCCATTTCATTAAATTTTATTTGGTATTCTTTATTCTTTCTTTACTTGCTTTATTTATACTTTCTTTGTTTCTCATTTCTTTACATATTCTTTGTGTAAGATGTTTTCCATTTTTGTTGTTTTGTTCTTCTATGTTCTTTCCCTCCTTGTTGTCTTTATTATATTTCCGTATCTTTCTTTCCGTTCCTAATTCTAATGGTTTCTTCATTCTTTTTCATTTTCTTCTTTATTCTCTAATGTCTCCTATCCTTAATTTTTTTCTTTCTTTCCTTACTCTTTCCTTGCTTTTCTGCTGGAAATGCTGGCCACACCCACCTTGGCCTCGGCCACAGCGATGCCCTCGTCCCACATGTGGAGCTCCTGGTACATCTCGATGGCCTCGTCCACGGCGTTCTGCCCATCGACAAGACAAAGGAGTGTGTTTATAGGTCCCTCGGCACACAACGTCTGACTCACAAAACGTTTTTCTGAGCAGCTTTCATGATTAACAGGCCGGTGAGAGCTGGCTTCCCTTTGAACAAAACAACGACTGAACAGATCTAATCCGAAGAAAACTAAGGCTGAGGGGGTCTGAGCTTTGTGTGTGTGTGTGTGTGTGTGTGTGTGTGTGTGTGTGTGTCGTTGTCTCAAACCTGCTCCATGTAAAGCATCTCAGCCAGTTTAAAGTTCTTGTCCAGCATGGCGACCCGGGCCTGCACCTGGTAAAACGTCGTCCCGTCTTCTCCCTAATTAGAAAACACAGGGATTGAAGCATACACACACCCCTCACACTCATTTCCTACCCATTGATATTGACTCCAGCAGAAAGCTTTAGTCTCCTATGCTTTGAGAGCTGGTTTAATCATGTGGAATACTGGCTATTTGCTCCAAAGAGAAACAAAAAGACTCTCTTTTTTGTGTTTTTTAGGTCAGTGTGGAGGGCTTGGCGCCTCGTTTCTGGGTTTAGGTGAAACCCACCATTTCCTGGGAAACTTTATCTGCAATCTGGTTTGTTTGGTGGAGGAATCGGACGGTCGAGACGTCACCCAGAGCAGCGGAACACCTGCAAATCAGAGGGAAGTCCCCAAAGGAAGTCAACAATCAAGAAGGAGGGAGGAAGTTCAGGGATTGCAGATCGCAGCTCGGAAAACCTGCAAACTTAATGAACTGAGATAAATTAGAGCTTTGGTGTAATTATCCCTCACATCCACAGTCTGTTTTATTACTAACTCTGTCTGAACAGTTGCATCAGATTAGTGAAAGAAGGAAAAAGTTTAAAACTCCCTGTTTCTGACTCTTTTTTGCTCTCCTTCCTCATTAACATTTCCTCCCTTCCTGATTAACATTATCCACTCCAGACAAACCGTTTCTTCCCCAGATTTCATGATTTATGCAAATCAAGCCGATGCCTAACGAACATTATTTGCATTATTAATGACAAAGAATTCAAATTTTAAAGGGTTTTTTTTTTCCTCCACAACAGAGAGAAATAAAGATGGAGGACGGGAGCGCGAGAAAAAACGTCTTTGATGGTAAATGAAGTCGGAGGAAAAGGTCAGGCGGGGACGCAGCCATCTGTGTGAGCGCTCTTATTACTGATCTATCAGATTGTGGAGACCCTTCTCCCTTTGGAAAGAAAAAGAAAAGCCTAGAAAGTAAATCGGGAAGTTTGGGTCTAAAACTAGAGTGGGAAGCAGCCTCTAAGGATCTGAGAACTCCAAGGTTCAGGCCTTGATTTTCACAAAAAAAGTAATTCTTCTTTTCCTGATAATAACGCTGTCATTACCGCTTCTTTCTCCCCATCCTCGAAGATTAGTAACAGAGAAAGACGATATGAGATGTAATTCACTCAGGAAGAGGGCCTGTGTGTGTGTCGGTGTATGTTTTCCTTAGTCTTTGTTTCCATTTCATTTAATTTTCTTTGGTATTCTTTATTCTTTCTTTACTTCCTCTATTTATTCTTTCTTTGTTTCTCATTTCAAGTCTTTACATATCCTTTGTGTAAGATGTTTTCCATCTTTGTTAGCCCCGGTAACAGAGGGCCTGTGTGTGTGTCGGTGTGTGTTTTCCTGACCTTTCGGCGATGTGCAGCTGGCGAGCCTCGAGGGCCAGTTTGCTGAGGGTCTTCCACATGGCCTCAGTCTCCGCGGACATCTCCAGAGTCTCCAGAAACGCCGTCGCCCTGCAAACACAGAGGAGCCGAGGCTCGACCAGGAAGGCCAAACAGACCGGCGCCGCACACTCTGAATGGCAGACCATTAAGTCCAGTCCAGTCCATTCTAAGTCCACATCATAGCTTTATATGTGTGGGGCCAAGCGGGGCAAAACTAACCTCGAATTAACCTGGACGTGTTACAGAATGGTGCTTTTTACTCTGAAAATACATGAAGCTGGACTGATGCATGATAATACATGAAGCTTTATCTGAACGGGTATATTTTAGACATTCTGTTGAGGGAAAAGTGTTGCTTTGGAGCTGTATTATGGCCCCTCGTGTCCACACGGCGGCCATTAAAGTCATTGATTGAAGGAGTCTCACTGGACGACGGTGCTGTGGTGTAAAAACTAACTGTTTTGCAGAATTCCAATCAATTACCCTTCTTTAGTGAATAACTGAATTAATTAAAGCCAAATAGGAATAAAAAGTCACAAAAAACAGTGAAACATTTCAGATAATTAACTTTTTTTTGCGGTAAAAACTGAAACATGGAGCTGATAGATGTGGAACATCTTTCCATAACTAATCAGCCTCACATTACAGGCTGAGGGATACTCATAGGTCTGGACTAAAGTCAATTTTACATGATTAGTGGATCCTTTACTGTTGGAAAGATCAGTTATCATTTACTCCATCGGATGAGGAGGCTTCACTTAGGTCTCGGTCTATAGCCGTTTGATTTGAGTCACGACTCGCTGAGAGGATGGATCATTTCTCCCAGCTGGCCTGGAAGTGCTGGGGGAAATTTTCCGGAAGGGGCAGAGGAGGAAGCTGCTGGATAAAAGGACATCTGGCCTGTTCTGTCGCCGAGCCTCTGACCCACCGGGCGGACGGACACGTGCGTGCTGTTTTTAGCTCTTACCTGTCGTAGTCTCCGTCATCGATGGCCGTGCCAAACTCGATCAGGCCTTCGTCCAGAGTGTAGGTCACCGTGTTGACGCCCTCTGTCACCACCACGTCCGTCTTCCCCTCAGCTCTCTCCACATCCACGATGTCTCCCTGAACAGGAATAAGCAAATCTCATCGTTTCACACCATCGCTTTTGCTTGTGTGAACTCCTTTGTCGATGCTCACTGGTCGTTTAGGGCTACTGAGAGCAAAAATGGGCCAAAGTGAGGCGACAAGTTGTCCAGGGTCAGCAGCATGAAAAGCTTTACCAGATGCACAGAGACAGATACTGACGAAAGGGAAACTGTGGGGGTTTGGATGCAAAAATCAGGGATGTATTCACTCTATAAAAAAGCCTCAGAGGTTCAGGATTCAGACCCATCTCCATCTTGTCTGGTTACACTTAGAAAGAGGGTGTTCTTCTCTTTGAGGGTTTAATATCATGATATCATTCTATGAGGAACCGGGCATATTTTTTTTAAAATCATAGGATGAAATGAAAAATAATACCATGGAAGTTATGTTACTTATTTTTCTAAGATGACAGCAAAGGTGTTATAGACTAGTAATATTGTAATAACCGGAGATGTTTCCACAGGCTTCCCTCATGCATTCACAGAGAAGAGGGCGAAGTTTTACCTTGATTGGGAACATGGTGATGCTCTCCGGGCTGTCGATGGTGTACCAGATGCAGAGGTTTCCTCTGTTCTGCGCCACCACCACGTCGCTGCCGGGCACCCACTGGACGTAGGAGCAGAAACTCAGCAGCGTGGTCTTCATCCCGGACTCTACGTCGTACAGATGGAGCTGTGGAGGAGAGGGCAGATAAAGGGAGATAAACTCTTGGCTTAACACAATTGACTGGTTTTCCTGCAGAGAAAACAGTTTATCAAAGTTAGCTTAGGTTAGCAAAAGGCCAGGAAAAGGCTAAAAACGATCAAAACCTGTGTCATTTTCCAAATGTTGGAAAACTGCTAGCGGGATGGTAAAGATATGAAAATATATCTGCGGGGAGCTGTCCTTTCAGCACCATCTAACTCAGAGAATCCTTTTCCAGCCAGTAAATCCCAGTTTTTGTATATATTTTTTAACAGATTCCTGATTGAAGGCAAAGCTTAAGGGAACACAGAAATCATATAGTGTTAAAAGGCAGCAGTTCAGCACATCTTCCCCAAATAAAAGTGAAATATACAGGATATCAAAGGGATTTTGGGAAAACTAGGCCGCTTTAAATCATTAGTTTCCTCAAATAGCAGCTCTTGTCAGCATGACTCCGTGTTCGACTTTTTTTGGGGCCGAGCGACGCGGCGCCGACGTCTTTGAAGATTTTCGGTGGGATTATGATCGGCACCTCTGGGATTAGCATGTTTGATTTTCCACAGACGCAGAAATATTTCGGAGGGAGCGAATGCGGACTTTGTTTTTGGGCTTCACAGAACAGGGCGTGAACACAACTCAGTGAAAAACAGCCGAAACATTAAAACCACTGAGTCAATATGGATTTATTTTGATTAAATGTGATATATATATGTGTGTGTGTCATATCTGTAAGTCTTTAACAATCTTTCACACTCAGCTGACTTCAGCAAAGTTGATCAAATTCAAACATCTCCATGCGAGTGCTAACACTGTACAATATTGTACTATTTGATTAGATTCTATACAGTTGAAAAGCTCGTGCAGGACTAATGAATATGAAGGACCACCTGCTGTTCTAATCAGCTCAGCACCTCCATATCTGACCTCCTTTTCACCGATTTAAATACCGCTCCCTCTACAGTTTTGCTGTGGAGCGCAGCTAGCCGACTTTAAATGCAACGAGGAAGAGCAGCCTGCTGATAAGCTCTTTAGAAAGTCTCTTCCAATTAAAGACGTGTTGCCTTCTTACGGTTTCTAACAAGTATGAAATGAAATAGTCAAACATTTCTCTCAGATTGCCAGGAGGTAGCAGAAATGATTTTCTTTTCAGCGTCCTCCTGCTAAAGTGCTTAAAAGCAGCGTGTTCCCGGTGGCCTGAATGGAAGCTAAATCCAACTTTGGCAGATTTTAAAAAGATTATCCCTGAGAGAAACCGTGCTGGGAGCAAACTTCCCGCTAAAGGAAAAGTTTTCAACACCGTTTTCAAAGGCTACTTTCTGATCCTTTGATTTTACTCGATTGTACAGGTTCAGCCGGACCTCCAGAAAGTTTAAGACCTTTATATAAGCTGTATGTTTAAGAAAAGAACTAGAAGAGGTGCATGTTGTTCTGCATGTGGGAATGAAAATTAAACTGGCTTCGTCGGTCTTTGTGTTCCATATCCAGCTAACGACGACCGCCTCCAGCCACTGTGTCACTGCTGCCTTTTGGAAGCCAAAACATCAGAACATCTGCCTGGAGAAAACACACTGGCCTAAAGAGCACAATGCCAGCTTTCGAAAAGCATCTTTTGGACAGAAGATGCTAAAATCTCCCGGGATAGAGACGGTCAGCGGCCTAAACTAGCCTCTACAAGCTGTAGATACAGCTGACCAGCAGTTCAAATCCGACCTCAACACAATCTAGAAGCATCTAATGATCTGGAAAACAAAACTGAAGGCTGAATTGTGAAGTAAGGCCAACTGGACTTATTTCTGGATCAACAGAGGATGGAGATTTTCACACTTCGAATGATTAACTCATTGACTGCCAAAGACGTCTATAGACGTCTTTTACGTTTTTCAACGCGAGTGGCTGGGGGACGATCTGCTAAAGCTTGTCCGTAAATATCAGGCTTCTAGACAGAGTATGTAGTAACAAATTGACCCTCTAGGTGGCAGTGCCCCTTTTGATGGGAGATGAGCATAGACTGTAGGCAAATAAAAAAAAGCTAACAGTTCGCTATGAGAGAACATGTCGCCGGTGAGACGCAAGTCCAGGAAGAACGGAATAAGGTAGAAACACTTTTTTTTTTCCTGATGAAAGAAGACAGTCTACTCTTTCTTTCGGTGTGTTCGGTGTTTACATAGTCATAGCACAAACTATTCTGTGGCTCTTGAAAAATCAGTCAAAATGCTAAAAAAAACTCTGGCAGTATGGGAGTCTGTTCTGAAAATGGCTGCCAGTCAGTGAGTTCATCCAGACCTGGCTGCTCCCTCACAGCCAGGAGGCAGACTGGCTGTGATGGACGCGGCTTTACCAGCGGACCGGCCCAAAATAGGGACCCGTCTCCTTACTCCGGCCGTCCATCATTTCCCCCGTCTGCCCTAGAGCCTCCAGCTCTCTCCCCCATTTTTCCCACCTTTTGGGGGGGACCTGAAGGTGTCATTCTCACCCGCAGCTTCTTGTCCCTGAACAGCAGTTTGCGTCCGGTCTCGTTGAGCTCCAGCCAGTCGATCTTGGAGTCGTGGCTGATGGTTCCCAGATTGAAGCCTCCAGCCAGGTCCACTGAGGAGAAAAAAAAACGCGCTTGAGAGTTTAAGCGAGCTGGAGTCAAGCTGCCAGAGTTTGACTAAAACTGGACTCTCATTAAATGTAAGAAACGAGCCGGTCGTTAATACAACCGAACAGAGAAAGCAGTTCATCTGCTTTCAAAACGCACCTGCGCGGGGATTTAGTTGAAAGTCAGCGGACATTTGAGGCCCTTAGAGGTTTTTAATTAGAAATGCTGCATTCACTGGCAGAGGTTTATTTTAGAGGGAAACACTTTGGCCTCAGTATTAGAGAAGTTTAGCATAAATACTGCCTAAAAAAATAACTTAAATCAGAAAGAAAGAAATGATTGAGGTGGACAGAAAAAGAGAAAACCTGGGCTAATTGACTTCAGGCACAAGTTGAAGACATTATCATTTTAAAGGCTTTGAAACTCATTTTAAAGGCTTTGGAACTTCAAACCAGAAAGAGTAAAGATGGGACTGACTGTCAGGTAAATGCAGAAGTCTGTAGATTCAAACGTGTGAATGACACTTAGGTTAGAAATGCATCTGATACAAAAGGAGAACTCATGAAAACACCGACTGTGGATGTTTTTCTGAGCTGGTTTGGATGTCGTGCAGCTTGGATGACGATTTCTGCTGGTTAACTCGGTGCTTTTTAGCATCTGTTATGATGAGAAATCAGGCCAGAACTTAAGAAGTCGGGTAATTGTGGGAGCAGCTGGAAAACCCGGCCAGCAGCCGTCTTTTGCCAGGAGTGAGATCCAGGCAAAGGATGTCGGCCAGGAGGGAAACAGAGGGAGAGGAGGAGACAGAATTAACCAGTTGTGTTGATGGAGACACATCTGGAACATCTGGAACGCATTATTGTGCGTTTATTTGAGAAATATTAGCAGTATTTTCGGATTCCAACATCTCACCGCTTGGCTTTTTGTCTGTAAGTACAGACGGAGACTGCAGACAGGGTGGAAAGAGTGGAGGAGGAGTCCAAAGTTACAGATAAAGGAGCATCTCTGCATTCCAGATGTTTCACAGCTGGCGCCGAGCAGTCACTTCACCCACTTCCCTTCTGCTTCACGTCAAACTTTCTTCATTGTCTTGTTTTCATCTTTATTAATGTTTTCATTACCATTCAGCGTTTTGTTTGTGTAGTTTTTGTATCTTTTATCTTTGGGAAACACTTATTCTTGAAAAGTTTAATATGAATAAATCACATTTCCTTAGTTTTGTTTTTTTAATTTGCTTATTTTCCTTCAAATAACTTATTTTGCAGCATCATTTTTGTGCATTTTGCTCCCACTTTCCTTAAGTGGGACCAAAGTCTCACTTAAAGAAACAGACGCCACAAAATAGGCTGATGCATTACAAGCAAAACAGATGCAAAATGCTGAACAAAAGCTTTATTTTCTGCGCACGTTTCTGAGTGACCGAGTTGAAAACACGAGACGCCATCAGTCTTAGTTAAAAAGTTACCGCTTTAAATGTGAAAAAGTTGGTGAGAATTTAAATTACCCAGGACACACAAGCTGTTTTTTCAGCCAACAAACCTCTGAGGAACCAAAAGCATCTTTGGGGTAAATATTCATGCATCTGCCGGCTCTTTTCGCATGGAGGAGACTCAAAATACGAACTAATAAACCCTTTGGGGAGCTCTGATCCGCATGCGATTCAACTGTTTTCATTTAATTGAACTTAAACCTTACATATAACTTTTCTTACCGATGGCGATGGTCTTTATGTCAATCAGATAAGCAAGCTTCTTATTGTCTTCAACGCCTCTCTGCTTCCTCTCATTTAGTCGCACACTAAACGGGCAAAAACACACAGAAAAGGGAAATGGTTGTTTGGTGTGAGATCTCCTCGTTCAGTAATCGTTTCTGACATGAGGCCCTGAATCCAGTTTGAGTGCGCTTACAAAGGAGGGGCGCCGACTCAAAGGCAGATTTATGCAAGAGTCACTACTGACATCTAAAGGAGAGAGCAGGAACTGCACCATTCATTTTGGGGCCGGTCCTGCTCTAACTGAAGTGTGTAAGTGTAATTTTAATTGTTTACAGGAAGAAACAAAAGAAAAAAATACACCTTGGACAGGAGTTATTTTCACCAATATGTAAAAAAAAATAGGCTTAAATGAATTGGCCAGGGTCAAATACAATGATTTCTAACCAGTTTTGCCCAATTTTTCATCTCATCTAATCACCTTATTCGTAAAACCTACATCAAATATCGGAGTAAAACAGTGTGGATACGCTTCAAAAACAGCTCTGTCTCCATTTGAATGGTTTATATTGGGGCTTTAAATCTGCCATCGATTCAGTTCTTAGGAAGAAGACAAACCTGTTTCTTTTATGAGAGTTTGTGGTTACCTTATGAGATGAGGGTTCATAAATTCCGTCCGGACAGATCCCAGGATCTCGTTGTTGCTGTACTCCACCAGGCTCAGTTCCCCGGCGTTAAATATCATGCACACCTGAGAACATTTTACAGGCCGGTGAAACCACAGCGTGAACAGCCCCTGAGGCAGAACTGAGGGAATCATCAGCGTTATACTGTTCACACTGTGAGCATACTTACTGTTTCATTTTCAAAAAAGAACTTCTCATTTCCTCCAGAACCGGGCCACGGCACCTGGGAGGATTCAGGAAGCCAAATTAACATTATACTTTAATATATTATGTATATTTTCCTAGATATTTGAGCTAAAATTGCCATTTAATATAGGAAAAGGGGAAGAAGTGCTTGAAAAATAAGGAATTTGCTCTGTTTCCTTCAGAATTTCCCAAAGCAAGTTGGATTTTTTAATTGAATTTGGATTTTTGTGTGTTTAGAATTACCTCGCTTAGTTTATTTGTCTGCAGGTCTCCCAGCAGAAGGGTGTCGGAGGTGTGGGCCACCAGGTAGCGATCCTTCCCCAGGATTTTGACCTCCTCTATCTCATAGCCATAGTAGGACTTCAGGACCACCCGTGTTCCTGAGGACAGGCTCCTCACGATCACCTGGCAGACGGGACAAAAAGGCTATTTCACACGTTTTAAAAGGGGGAAAGGATGTAAATGGCTGGGTTTATATTAAATAGATCTTTCATAGGAATGACAAAGTTTGCTCAAAACTGCTGGCTGGAAACCTCAAACAAAGAGCGTTTGTTTTCAGGGACGATGAGGTCTGATGTATTCACGTTTTAGTGCCTGCACTAAATTACAAATAATAACAAATGCCATTTTCTGGCACATTTAACCCATCAATTAATTCCAAAATCAGAGCACAAGGCAGACAAACAAAGGGCTGGATAATTGTCTCCAGAGCTTTAATTGCTTTTGTCCCTTTCTTAATCATCAGTCTGAGGTACTTGGCTGCGCGCTGCATTGAAATTCATTAAATATAAATGACTGCTCCCACACAATCAACTGAGTCATTTTCAGTTTTCCAATCATCTCTTAATTGGCAACAGCAGCACAGCGGAGCGGCCACAGAAAGTGCTTCGTTTATTTACTTGTTAAACTGCAAACAGCACAGTTATGTGGGTACAGCGCATGGCTGGTTATTTTTCCCACCTGACTCAGGCCAACGTAGATCATCTCAAACTTGTTTTTGTAGATGGCTCTCCTCAGACAGCAGTCGAACAGCTCCACCCCTCCGCACAGCGTCCCCTGTCCGGGGGGCAAAACCCACACAAAGTCAAAACCTTTTTAACCTTATAATGCCAAATGTATCATATTTGATTCATACGGTTTCTGAAATGTTTTGCGTCTGACACCTTTAATGGTATAAACTTTGCTCAAAATCCTGTTGTACACAATCAGATACACCTGATAACAGGGGGCAGAAGACTACACAAAAAAAATCTTGACTTATCGCATAGTAATCAATTATTGATATTAAAAATGTATTTCTGTTTTTTTCTTTTTGCATATTTTGTTAAAAGGCCAAATAAGGAAGTCAAACAAAAAAAAAGTAATTTTCTGTTTTGTTTTATTCTTGGATCAGGCTTTAAGAGGGTCGTCCCAAAAGCTGTCCCTGGTGGGGGATTTAAGCGTCACAGGAATATTACATTTCAAATTTTAAATTGCAACTTTCCCCTTTTCTATGAATGTTCAGTCTTATTGATATGTATATGATATTTGTCATCTGTCAAACATGTTCATGAATTTACATTGTATACTGTATTTTTAATTATGTGGACCCCAGGAAGCACAGCTAATGGGGATCCTGATATCAAATAAACAAATAAACAAACAGGAAACGGCTGAAAATCTTCCCTAACGAAATGAAACCGCTGTCGGGATGGAAACGAGGAAAAGGACGCGGGACTGACCGCACAGAGGCGAGAGCCGTCCTTCTTCCAGGCCAAGCTGGTGATGGTGTACAGGTTGCTGATCTCCTTCGGTTTGGCCTCGTCCCACACGCCTCTGCGGGGGGCCCAGTTGAAGACCCGTAACCTGGAAGCACCAGAGGATTAAATCACCTGATCCCCCTTCCCCGTGATGCGTTCGAGGTCTTCCCCGGTCTCGCACTGACCGGTCGAAGCTGCCGAACACCACGGACTGGCCGCTGGGGCTGGCGGCGGCCACCGTGAACTCCCTCTCCGTGCGCTCGCGGCTGTAGTCGAAGCTCTGCAGGGCGTGGCCCTCCTTGCCGTAGGCCACCACCTTCTTGTCGCAGCCCCCCACCATGATGCTGTTGGCCCCCCAGGCCAGGGCGTAGGGCGGGCACGGGTGGGTCAGCAGCTTGCCCTGAAGCATGGTTGGGACACGGGTCAGCACACGGGAAACCAACAGAGACCAACAGGGACCAACAGAGACCAACAGGGACCAACAGGGACCAACAGGGACCAACAGAGAACAACAGGGACCAACAGAGACCAACAGAGACCAACAGGGACCAACAGGGATCAACAGGGACCAACAGAGACCAACAGAGACCAACAGAGACCAACAGGGACCAA